TAATTATTTCCCAAGTGATTCCACAGTAAAACCACATGTTTTTCAAAAACCAAAGTGTAAAGTATTATACATTTTTAACCTAATTTATTTAAAAAATCGATATTTTTGATAAAATTAATCTGGGCTACAATTCTGTTACATAAATACTTAAAAGAATCAACTTCTTCATTTTATCTTGTGATAATTCAATTGATTTTTTTTGATAAGAGTTGTTAATATAATTGACATAGAGAGCAAAATTCAATTCGTATTCACCTGAAATACTATAGTTAATTGACAGAGCGATGGATGGTTTCCAATTGTTTGCAAATCAGATTAATTTTGATCAATAATAGTGTCAAATATTAGTATTCTATTGTCGTGTCACATTTGAAATGATTTGCGTGTAGTTAGTTGTGTATATCACAGGTATTTGAATGATGATATGGTAATCGTGACGTAAAGGTACAAGGTACAATTATATAATCTTTCACCATATGACGTAAGATAATTATAAAAAAAAATCAAGCTGTAGCTTGTCAAAAAAGTTGGTAAAATTAGATAATACTATAAAATTGATAGGCATGAAGTAAGTAGGTTAATATGAAATGAAATGGCATATTCACATTATGGTAGATTTCAGTAAAAATTATAAGATATAAGATGCTGATGTTGGCATGAGTATGTTATACCTCTAAATATTTATTGGATTCGGAATACTAAATGCGGTTTCTATGATTTATGTATGGAAAGGTAAAGGCCATCTTCTGCTTCTTTTTTTTTTCTTCTTCTCTTGTTGGTTTTTCTTTAGGATTGCGTAATAAATAAGTAGTAAGTTTTAGAGGAAATTTGCTTCTATTTTTTTTGCAAGTCTTTTCAAGGCGCAACAAACTCGCGGTCTCGTGTGTGACTATGTAACTTATTATTATTTTATCTGGTAGTTTTATTTTTACGTAACGTAACCGTAGCGGCCGGCTACGACGAGGTCATGCGGGTGTCGTAGTCGGTAACAATTTACATGCACCGATGCGGGAAGGGGCGGCAGCAGCACATACATACATAAACATGTTTTCGAGTCATCCATATGGATTTCATTGAAGGACGACCGCACGTACATAATATACCCGCAGGACACTAATTATCGACGTGTTATCCACACACACACACATATTCACTGTACCATGCAAACACTTTTCGTCGAGCTGCTTACTTAAAATGTGCAACTATTTTGCATTTTTAGGGGGAGAGAGAGAGAGAACCTGGTAACCCACTTGCATAACGCCTCAGTAATCATTTGTCGTTTACTACTACTAAACGTCGCTTTTAACAATTTATACAATACACATTTTGTAAAAAAAAAACTATAAATTAAGTACAGAAGAATTGGTTTTTCTTTTTCAAGCTTTGTCTATAAACGAGGAATAAAATAATTTGTTAATATTCTTCAGACTTTCTCTACACATAGAGAATAATAAAATTTGTTTATGTTCTTCAAACTTTGCTTATGAATCAGGAGTAAAAGAATTGGTTTATATTCTTCATACTTTGTCTACTTAATAAAAGTATAAGAAGTTTTATTAATCAGAATTTTTCTACCAATAAGTATCAGGACAATGGTTTATGTTCTTCAGATTTTGTCTATATATCAGAAGTAGAAAACATTATATTATTTAGACTTTGTTTACAAATCAGGACTAAAATAATTGGTTTATGTACATCATCATTTGTCTACAAATTAAGTGTAGAAGAGTTTATTTTTTTTTAATCGGACTTTGTCTACATATTAGAATTAGAAGAATTTTTATTTATCAAATTAGGACTAGAAGAATTGGTTTATATTTCTCAGTCTGTCTAACTAATAAACAGTAGAAGAATTAATTTATGTTCATTATAGACTTATATCTGCAAATCAGGACTAAAATAATTCAAACTTTGTTTACAAATCAGCTATTTTATTCCTGATTTGTAGACAAAGTTTGAAGATTATATTATTTAGTCTTTGTCTACAAATAAATAGTAGAATAATTAGTTTAAGTTATTCACACTTTGTCCACATATCAGAGGTAGAGGAATTTATAATCTTCAGATTTTGTCTATAAATCAGGATTAGAATAATTGGTCTATATTTGTCAGACTTTATCTATAAATTATGTTTTAGATTCCTAAGAATTGGTCTACTAATTAAGAGTAGAAGAATTGGTTTATGTTCTTCAAACTTTGTCAAAATATCAAAAGCAGAAAAATGTATATTATTCAGACTTACAAACCAGGAGTAAAATAATTGGTTTATATTCTTCAGATTTTGACTATAAATTTGAACTAGAAGAATTGGTTTATGTTCTTCAGACTTTGTCTACATATCAGAAGTAGAAGAAAGTATATTAATCAGACTTTGTCTACAAACCAGGAGTAAAAGAATTAATTTATATTTCTCAGATTTTGACTACAAATTAGAACTAGAAGAATTGATAGATTCCTCAGAATTTGTCTACTAATAAAGAGTAGAAGAATTGGTTTATGTTCTTCACACTTTGTCTACATATCAGTAGAAAAATGTATATTATTCATTCATTATCTTCAAACTTTGTCTACAAACCAGGAGTATAAGAATTGGTTTATATTCTTCAGATTTTGACTATAAATTGGAACTAGAACAATTGATTTAGATTCATTAGAATTTGTCTACTAATAAAGAGTAGAAGAATTGTTTTATGTTCTTCAGGCTTTGTCTATATATCATAAGTAGAAAAATGTATATTATTCAGACTTTGTCTTCACACTTTGTCTACAAACCAGCAGTGAAATAATTGGTTTATGTTCTTCAGACTTTGTTTACATATCAGAAGTAGAAAAATGTATCTTATTCAAACTTTGTCTACAAACCAAAGAATATAAAATAATTGGTTTATTTTCATCATCCTTTGTCTACAAATAAAGAATATAATTATTGGTTTATATTTTTCAGAATTGGTCTGTAAAATAAATGATTTATATTCTTCAGATTTTGTCTACAAATCTGGATTAGAATACTTAATTTATATTGTTCAGAATTTGTGTACAAATCCCTGATTATTCCTACAATTACTTTACTATACCAATTATTTAAAGAATCGAAAAATTACAAAACCAGATCAAATCAAATACAATTTTCTTAAATATTTCCTTAAGATTAAATTAACTATAAATCTTATATTTACAAGGTTCTGCTACAATTTGATATAATCATTAAAAATTATAGAAATATTCTATTTCAAAACTAGGAAAATATATTAAATATTATCTGAATATTTGGAAATATTATAAGATAAAAATGGAATTAATTTGTACAAAAATAATAATCTTTTCCATTAATGAAATATCTTCAATTAATTATACATTTAGATAATTAATTATAATCAATTCGCTGTGATAAACGTATGAAAATTTGACCTATTACAATAATAATAGCAAACGTTTGCTGTTTCTTTACTTTATATTTTCTCTCTCTGTTCTCTAAACGCTGATTGTTGTTAAACGAAAGAAGACTTTGAAAGTTCGGTGGTAAACAGAATGCAATTAAATTTTAATCGTGTATTTTTCCTTCCACAAAAACAAAACCATGGAAAATAACTGTGCGTCGGGGGGACAATTCATCAATTTTTGCAGACGTTATTTTGCGAAATTCTGCAGAAACGATGTAACAGAAATAATGCAGAAATAAATTTCCTTCTCGAAAGGATGGGCTTATGGTAAATAGTTTCATGCATGCATGCAAACAAACAGAAGCCCATAAACTTTCACGCACATGTTTACATCTACATACATACATGATTTAAGCATTTTAAAAGTGCGGAGCAGCGTTAAAAGATTAATCGAAACTTTCTTGCTCACAGATAATTAATTGATCGATACAAATAATAAGAGAAGGAATCATGTAGAAAGTAGCGCAATTATTATTTCTCAATCCGATCTATTAATAAAACTCCTTTCGTTTTGTTGTTGTTGTTTGTTATATTTTATTCATTTTTTTTTTGATTCCGACACATTCATGATTTATACATCAAATATGAATGCAATTTGTATCGAATACACACCCATATTTCGTTATGTAAACAAATTACGTATTAATTAGGATTATAGGAAACTTTCCAACGAGTTAATAACTCGTATGTTTACAAAAAGTTTTCAATGAAAGTGCGATGATCTATACTTCGCAAAAGTTGGATTATTTATTGCCTCCATAAATATCCTTTTATTTTTACCATCTAATTGTATGTTTTTATATACTTTTGTGTTCAAATATTTTGGTTTATAAGAAAATATTGTTGTTTGGAATTATATAACGAATCTATTGAAGCATGATTGCCAAGTTCTTGTGCTGAAAACCGCCGAAACATTATATTAAATAATAAAAGATAAGTGGATAAAGGCTGTAATCGACAATTTACCGCAACGAATGTTTGCGTATTTGCAACCAAAAAAGCTGATATATAGTTCATACTTCTGAGGTATTCAAACTGCACATCCAAAGCTATGCATTTAGGCTCTGGGCGCGCGCTAAACGTCTGCAATTATGTAATAAAAGCGCGATACTTTCTTAGCTTATTGCATCTCTTCGCGTGTAGACCGCTGAGCAATGATTTATGAAAAAAAAGTAATAAAAAAAATGTTAACTCAACAAAAAAATATAATATAAATTATATAGTCGTCGTTGCAAATTCCTTGTTTCTCGGTAGAAACTACGTGTTTGTTTATTTTGTATTTACGTTACACTTTCCATCTACAAGTTCAGTGTAAACATCAGGATTGTAATTTGATATATATATAAAAAAAAGAGTAATTTGTTTATTGAGGTCAATGAAAATTTGATTTATTCATTCATCAAAATCTCGACAAACGTAATCTCGACAGTATCAAAATCCCGACAGAATCTTTTTTTATTTGATTGTCGGTATTTCCATTCACATCTATTGAATTTATGAAATTATGTAATAGATTGAAATTTGTATTAATATTATGTATTTTTTTTGTTGTAAATTCAGATTTGACTGCCGATGGTGCTAATGAGGGTCCGGGGGCACCATGGAAAGCTGACCATGGGGTAATTCGAAAACCTCCTCCCCCGACAACAACAACAACAAAAACAACACGAAAGAACTAACGATCGTCGTCCCTCCGCCGCCCAACACTTTACCAAGGACGAAGCGAAGAAGGAGAAAAAAAGGAAACCGCGATTTACATTTAAATTGAGTGCAATAATACGAATCAATCGAGGCGGGAAACAAATTAAATTGAAGCTTTTTTTAGTAAACTTTAGTGACTCTCTTTTACATACATTTTGAATCGACCTATACACTTACCTAATATTAAATATATTTCATACTTTATATATATTTAAAAACAACAAAAAGGATCATATTTTTTATTGTGTGACCGCGCGCGCGACTATTGCACGAACATTGTGTCGGAAGGATTACATTTCTTTTTGTATTTGCTGCAAGGATTGATCTCGCTACAAAAGGAAGTGTTGCGTGAAGAAGGATATACCGGGAAGAAGGAACCAAAGTGTGTGATTAGTTTTGGGCGTATATTTATAGCTGGATTTACTTTATAATCACTAAAAGGGAAGGAAGACTTACAGAGAAAATAAACAAGATTGAAAGGTAAGGCTTATTTTTAGATGAAGCTCTAACGTTTTTTTAATGCTGCATCCGCACTATGAGACGTCAGGCGTACCAACTTTTGTAGGTTGTCAAATTTCAGCTGTCTCGTATCAAGCTTAATCCGTAGTATTTACATGTTTAATTTAACTCTTTGAGGGAGATGGGACACGCATTGTACCAGCTTTTGAATATGCTTAGTGGGGCATTATTTTAAGTTTCTAGGAAATGTCCTTTGGTTGATATGTTAAGGGATGAACATTGATTCAGTTGATGAAGTTGTCTAGAAATTTAGGAATTTCTGGCCTTTCAAAGGGTTAATTGCGTAATGTTAGTAATAAATTAGTAGGATAATTATTGATTTTACTGAAAGCAATAATAACGGTGATAAATCATTTGTAGTGTGAAAGATCTGGAATAAATTAGATAAAGTTATAATTTATATGAGCCAATGAGTGGCGGGAATCGGCGAGAAACACGATCCATTTGAGTACGTCCAATTATAGAGGCTTCTCTAGTGATATGGGCAAATAGGTTTCGCTGCAGATAAGAGGCAAAGTACAATACGTTGTATGTTATCGAGGTCAGAAAATAATGAATCAATTGTTGATGGATGCGCCATTGATCTATGGGGCCATCATCTCCACCCCCAATCCTCGTAACACCATGCCTTATTATTTATTTATAAGCGTGGAGACAAACAGGGTCAACGAGATAAAGTCCAGAAGGAAAACGGCTCACGGCTCTAATATGCATATAATCCACGGATAATTCTCCAACACGATACTCTCTGCTGTCTTCTCGCTTTCTCTCTCTCTCTCACACACACATACACACACGTGCGTAAATGCACCTATAATACCACCGATTCGCGACTATAATAACACAGGCAACACCAGTGGACGCCATCCGATGCGGAACGAGGGAACAACACAATAAAAACAATTTCCATTGTGCTAGAAAATCTGGAATTACACTACTCTCCTACCTTTTTCTTTTTTTTTCGTCTCTTTTATTTCCTTCCTTCTCTCCGCCAGACAATATTTTATATACCCAGACTAATTGTCTAGCTGAAACGACAATAACAACAACAACATCGAAAGAAGCTAATCATAAAGAGGATGCTTGATGAGGTTCACCGAACGAACTGCAAACTACTATGTTGCACACAAAGGTAAACAAAAAGTCTGACGCTCATCAACTGTAATAGCTTTTGAAACATATACAACAACAAAAAAAAAGAAGTTTATCATTTATTAAGTCAGTATCCATTAAGCTCAGATATTGTGATTGGATTGGCAACACTATGATTCCATTATATAATTAAAATGTAAAAAAAATTAAAGTTATTAGTTGCACTACTTCTTATATACTAGAGGTATTGATACCGGTTTTAAAAAGTCGCGAAATGACAACTGTCACCTTGTGTCAAAGCAATTTTGTTGCGAAATGACAGCTGTCATTTTATATCACTGTGTAACTACATACAAATATATTGGATTGCGAAGCTAAAAGTATATACACCAGGTTTTTTTGTTAAATGTGAATTTTGAAAACCGGTTTTTTAAGTCGATTTTTATATAAACCATACATATCTGAAGTATACAGAAATTGCTAGTAACTAATACTTGTTCTTATAAGATAGATGATCTCAAAACTTACAAATATATTGGATTGCAAAGCTTAAATTGTTGAAAAACGCTGTTGTATATTACTAGGGTTTATCGGTTCTTAACTTTTTGATTTAGTATATAAACCGGTTTTTTTTGTTAAATGTGAGATTTGAAAACCGGTTTTTAAGTAGATTTTTATATAAACCATATATACTATATTATCTGAAGTATACAAAAATTGCTAGTAACTAATACTTGTTCTTATAGGACAGATGATCTCAAAACATACAAATATATTGGATTGCAAAGCTAAAACATTGAAAAACGCTGTTGTATTTTACTAGGGTTTATCGGTTTTTAACTTTTTGATTGAGTATAAAAACCGGTTTTTTGTGTTAAATGTGAGATTTGAAAACCGGTTTTTAAGTCGATTTTTATATAAATCATATATACTATACTATCTGAAGTATACTAAAATTGCTGAAAACTAATACTTGTTCTTATAGGACAGATGTTCTCAAAACATACAAATTTATTGGATTTCAAAGCTAAAAGGTTGAAAAACGCTGTTGTATATTACTAGGGTTTATCGGTTGTTAACTTTTTGATTTAGTATATAAACCGGTTTCTTTTGTTAAATGTGAGATTTGAAAACCGGTTTTTAAGTCGATTTTTATATAAACCATGTATACTATATTATCTGAAGTATACAAAAATTGTTAACTAATACTTGTTCTTATAGGACAGATGATCTCAAAACTTAAAACTCTACTTTTTAAACTAAAAATCATCATAATTACTGAATAATTTCATAAAACTTTCCTTTCACCGGTCTTATTTTATTGGCTTAGTCATCTTGTTGTTGCGTTGAGAAATGTAGTTTCTTGCCATAATAACATAATGATAGTAGCATTTTTTTAACTGGTTTAATTTACCAATAAGTACGTTACTAATTGATTCGAGTTCAATTTAGAAGTGTTTACGCTGCAGATAGATAGCTCCAGCACATTGGAAACCAAATGTGCATAAAATCCGTTGTGAAATAGTGTGTGTGACCAGAGGCGGTGGTAAATGTAAATATATAAAAAAAAGATGAGAATGCGCGAGAGATGAGAGTTTAATGCTTTTTCGTCTAAATGCTATTTATATCGCGAGTTTATGACCTCGCAGTTATCATCAATGAAAATAAAGTAAACAAAAATTTGCACTCTGGTATTGAAGGCGTCGAGTTCGCATGGTGAAGAGAGGAGTGGAGAGGAATGGAAAGGCCAGTGGAAGCGATTTAGGAATCGGTGGGAACGAGAAACCCGATGCAGAGCTATTTTGGAAGACGGCCAACTGCAATAGAACGTCGGAAAAATCAATAATAGTAAAAAGGAAAACGCATACACGGACGGCTTTGTTTACAGAATTTCCTACAGTCGCAACTTTTATTATTTGTCACACACAAAAAAATAATAACAGAATTGAATTTCGCATATTTGAGATGAAATTATCGTCGGATGCCAAGGAAAATACGCGCAGTTTCAACAATACCTCCGTCTCATTTTCCTGATGCAAAGCAGACGTGAGAGGTCTTGGCTTGCAGTAGTATTGACCTTAGCATAATATTTATTGGCCGACGATGGGTAACTTTTTGGAAAGAAGGTGGCTTGCAGCAAATATTTATGCAACAAGGTGAGAACAATGATGACCTTGTTGATCTACAAACTTTTTGGGAAGTGGAAATATTTTAATGTTTATTATAACACAAATAGACTTTGGATTTAGTACAGGAAGATTAGATTATGTCCAACGTATACATAAATAGATATTTTTGATGCAGCAAACATTAGTTTTACAAAAAACGTAATATTCAGGAAGTGGAATATCATAATATTAATATATTGAAGATTTATGTCAAATTTTTCTTTAAATTTTAATAATTTTTTGTAAAAATTCATAAAATCTAAATTCTAGTAATATTTGTCATCATCCTAATGCGTTCTGTAATTGTTTTATTTAATTTCTACAAACTTTGATAATCGAATTTACAATCTGACAAAAAAAAAGCAGCTCCAAATTATCTGCACGATTTTTCGCTGTAAAATCCTGCGCGTAACGTAATTAAAGCGCGACCAGAGTTTGGAACTGGGCCACGACAAAGTGATTAAATTTTAATTTGATCCACCTTCCTCGAAACGTAAACATTCCGAAAAACCACAACAACAACGACGACGACGGAGATGGCACCGAAAAATGAAGAAATAAGTCATGCAGCAAGTACGTTTCATCTTGTCGTTCTTATTTACTCGTTTCTTCCATCTCGACGGACGGATGAGAAACGGGTTGTCAAAATAAAAGAGCGCTTGGATATAATAAAAATAAAATCTGATGTGAAAACAGGATACACAGGGAGAAGAAGGAATGAGAAACAAAGAGAGAAAGAAAAGGATGCAGACAAGACAGCACGAGGAAACACCGAAAGGTCGAATGTAAGGAGAGGAAAAATATAAAAGATATTCTCGTAAAGCTGAAACGTTAAAATCAAACCGTTTTGTCTAATTATAAAAAATACCGAAATTGCATGAAATATTCGAACGAATATTATTACTAATACTTAAGCAACAAACTAATTACTGAATGTTTTTGATAGAAAAAAGTTTTATTGAAGTTGGCAGTAAATCATGTATACTTTTCTATACACCTAAGGAAAATCTAAGAGTATTTGTGTTTTTTAATTTCGATCAGAGTTTGTGCAAAATAATAAGTGGAATATAAGGAATAAGAGGAAAAATATAAAAAATATTCTCGTAAAGCTGAAATGTTAAAATCAAACCGTTTTGTCCAATTATAATTAGCGAATAAAAAATACTGAAAATGTTTGAAATATTC